ATTAGGCCACAACAATTTGGGATGTTTCGTTTTGAAAAGCTGTGCTACCACATCATTTCTCTAATCAATTTTTTTTTAGTCGCATCTGGCCCCGTAAGGAGATAAACAAAATCACAACTAAGATACTAATAGAAACAATAATAAAATGAGTACTAGAACAAAGTCAGGAATGAGGTATTCTTATTTATGCCAATACATCTCAATATATATCATTACTACTACTACTATCATCGTGAGTAATCTCGATGGTCGGATGAGTGAACAAACAAACATGTGATCGTGGTGAACCCGATTTCCGGTCTCACGATGAAATCGGTTTTAGTAATCTATGTTTTTATTTTATTTTATTTTCCCATGACAATTTTATTCCCAAGTAGTGATATATATTGAGATGTATTGGTATGAATACGAATCTCTGAAAACGAGCTTGTTCGCCACTCTGTTGTTTTGTTTCAAATGTGCTCTGTGGGATTATTTCAACAAATGAGGTATTCATTTTAAATTTGAATTAGGCCACCTTTACACAAAGAGATCAATTGTTGACAAGATTCCAACCGAAAGCATTTGATACTACTTTGTAAATAGTGAGAAAATGCTTGGCAGCCCAGCTTTGAGTATGTTATGTGGTAGGGGATATCACTGGCATCGTTTAATGCGCGATCCATGTGTCGGGAATCCGAATAGTTAGAGTATGATACTGAGGGATTTCCCTCCTTCCATTCGACCGTTTCATGAACACAAATCGAGGACACATATGGACCGATTTGACCGATCTCACATTCCTTACTTTATTGGCAAATACGAAACACATAGATATATGGTGTTCAGTTGTTCGCCGAGCTTAGCAATTATATTGCAAACGTTTCATCACCAATCCAGGTGACATTCTCAATGCAGTAACTGGGTGAGTGCTTACCAGTGTCCCTTTCCTTATATAAGTCGTTGAGTCATGTAGAGATGTGACGTTGCCCGATTGGCTGATGTTTGTTTGCCTTGTGCCGATAGGCGATGAGGTGGACGCCAGCAGTCTGACGGCTGGTTGTTGATCGATCCGTCTAATTGTTACTGTTGTCCTGTTGTGACGTGTGACACGACCCACCTTCTTTGCGCTGATTGGTTCTTTTGTTGCATGGGGGTGTAGACTTGTCAATGTTCTACCAGCTGAGCTACGAGGCCACACCGATAGCACTGATCTGTTCACATTCGAGGCTGCTGAACTTTTCACAATCGACATACAAACTTCAAATCTGTCAAACAACTAGTTGAACGATGTCAATGTGTCGGTTGACAGAGTTTTCCGATGAATACCAAGCTTCCAGAAATTCTCTTGCGTGCTTGGTGCGGGCCTGATCGACGACTCTGGTGTTTTCGAAATCGAAGTTGTGTCCTTCTTGTGCCTCGTGAATTGAGATAAGTGAGAGCGCATCGTGTCTTTTGATGGCCAGTTTGTGTTCGTGCACGCGAGTTGCTAGTTTTATCCTCGTTTAACCGAGTTAATGCTTGCTGCAGTCCTTGCAATTGATGCGGTAGATCACATTTGTTCGATTTTTATCTTCTTTTTGCTTCTTGGTTTGCGATAAGATTCTCCGTAGGGTCGTCGTTGGTTTGTGGGCGACTTGAATGTTGTGCGGTTTCAGTAATCTCGTGGTCATTTCAGAGATATTCTTCACATACGGTAGNGTTATTCGGTCGTCCGGTTGTCCATCTATCCTTGTGTGTTGTTGCGTTTGATCAGGCAATCAGGCAACGTCACATCTCTGCATGACTCAACGACTTATATAAGGAAAGGGACACTGGTAAGCACTCACACAGTTACTGCATTGAGAATGTTACCTGAATTGGTGATGAAACGTTTGCAATACAATTGCCAATCTCGGCGAACAACTGAACACCAAGTTATACTACCCGAGGTACAAAAAACAACAATGAACACAAAACTGTCACATAGATACATGCATAACAGCTTGGTCGTAGAAATGGGGTGGGGGGTTGGGGATGGAGGTTTGTTTCAATTTTTCTTTTGTAGCATTACTAATTAACCTGGGGTATTTGTCTCCAATCCTCATTCTTCTTACATCTAACACGATGTTTCCAAATGCACCATCATTTCCTTGCTCCAGTGAATTCAATGAAATCAAACCAGATGAGAATTAGGTTAACACACCAAAATTTGTCGCGTATTTGGATTCAACATTCAGCGAAAATAGATAATAATTGGGCCTACAGGTCCATAAATGTAAGGGTTTCTACCAAGTGATTGCCGATCATTCTGGATGGCTGGATACGAACGAGCACGGATTTGGTCGGGTACAGAGTAAAAGAATCGTGAACTGAAAAACTAATCGAACCAAATCCACCATTATCTTCATGTGACAAGCAATCACGTTCAAATTGTTTCAAGTAGAGTCATAACCTCAGAGATCTGGACAAGGTGAGATGTTCGTAATAAGCTTCCTGAGGTGGGTTTCGTTTTATCCTCTATAAACGGAAAACCGTGTTACCAACTACCTGTGGACAGCAGGCAATGGTGTGTCTTTGTGTTCTACTTGTTAAGTCCCGGGTTCGATCCTCAATCGGCCCGATGGATTGATTAGCACTGCTGATGAATTCCAACCACGTGGAACCAGTTGTTCCGTTGCGGTTAGCTTTTTGGTTCACCCTGGGTTTGCTCAATTGGTGAAAAAATTATCATGTAAAAGATTTTCCGTGGTTCAGCAAAACGAGGAACTAACTAGTTCTGATAAACTGAAATATACATGCAAAATAACAAAAAGGTACTTAAAACGTTCATCGAGTTAAGCGCACATTCCGGTAACAGTGATATCTAGTCCGATCTATGAGCCATTCATAGTCGCTTAAGTTTGGCTTTGTCCCGGACGACTGGCGTAAAGCTACAGTAGTGGTGATACGTAAATCTAGATCTCGACGAAAAGTCGAGAATTTCAGACCAGTAAGATTGACTTCGGTAATATCTAAGTGTTTGGAGTGGGTAGTCACAAGGCAAATATGCCATCACATGGTCAATGGTGGAATGTTGCTACCAGCTCCACATGGATTTGTCGAAAAGAGATCATGTCTGACAAACCTAACGGTGTTTCCAGAAGGGGTATCACATTACCTGTCTCTGAGGACCTCCCAGTGGAGGTACGTGATTTCGACCTTCAGAAGGTATTCGTTTCGATCAGCCACCGTATGTTAGAACATAAGATGCAGATGTTGAGAATAGATGGGGAAGTAAAGAGCCGGGCAGTGGGTTTCCTAGAATCACGGACGATTAATATCAAAGTAAGGGATCACATTTCCGAAGTGGAAGTGGTCTCAAGAGGAGTAACTCGAGCATCGGGACTTAGACCGTGTTGTTCATGTTCTACATGGATAACCTAGCACGGGATCTCCCAATTCCCTGTCTTCTGTTTCACTTGAGGTTAAGATAATTGAATGTGATCTGGCAAGAGATATGAAGATAGTTAAAAGATATGCTAAACAATGGGACCTACCGTTAAATGTCTCGAAATGTCTGCTACTGACTACCAAGACTGATGAAGAGATGGGACGGATCCAGTGGAAATAAGGAGTGCGCAAAACCAAGGATCTGGGACTAGAGATCACGCGGGGAGTTCACACTAAGTAATAAGTGTGTGAAAGCAGCTAACAAAGCGAGAAGAAAGCTCATTCATCTTTGCACAACCATGACGGGCAGGAAACTCGAGATGTTTGTCCCATCACACAAGTAAGCTGTCCGCCGCATACGGAATACTGCATACACACTTGGGCTCTGTTTTATCGAAAGGAAACCAACATATTAGAGATAGTTCTACATCTAGCCACTAGGATGATAGCTGTACAACGAGAAAAACGCTATCAACAACGAATCAGGGATCTGAATCTGTTTTCCCTCAAACAGAGACGGATAAGGGAGGACCTGATAGAGACGTTTAGGATAGTCAAGGATTTGTCAGACCTGAGATTTGACGACCTGCTTTCTTTGATTCCGCATAGAG